CGCTCCCTTTTGCCAGATACACGGCGATATAGCCCTGTCCGTGTGACTTAAAATTCAGGTCGACGAGCCATAAAATGAATGTTTATATCCAAAATACAAAGGAACCAACAATCGACACTTTGATGTTTGAAATAGATATTTGGCCTTTTAGAATTTCCTAGGCCTTGCACCACTAATACTAGGCAAATTCCCTAACAATTTGATTAGGGGCGAAGTGTTGGAGTATTTCTATTGATCGGTCATGTCTTTAGCACCAAGCCATACATCCAGTTGCTTCCATTGAATTCTCTGGTGGTATAATGACTGATCGAGAGGCTCGACTAGAAGGAATCTGGAAAAAGAGATCTCGTACATGAGGCAGATGAGGTTTGTTTTCATCAGATCAAGAAATTGTGGAATATCCGAGACTAGAAACCAATTAAGACATGAATTGTTCTTCAATGAATCACTAGATTGTTTCTCGGAATGACTAACTATAAAAGATACAGGCGAGGAAAACATCACCACCAACATATTCCGATCTCAAAGAGACATCTGATAATACACTGGCGACAAATACCTGCAATGGTTGAACTATCCCATCCTTGTAACATGCTGCCGATCGTCGCAGCAATCGCCACAAGCACCGCTCCCCTCATCGTTTCTCTCCAAAATCCGTCCTCCAACCCAAACCAAGAGCGACAGTTTGGTCTCGGCTGCGGAGTTAATGAATTCCCCGCCTTCCAAAATCAAATCGGCCCTCCAATATGTCGCACGAAACAGTGCCCCGCTATATAAAAAATCATCCGCGCACGTAACCTCATACGCATTTCAAAGGGTATTCCTCAAGAACTGTCATTCGCGGCGAGGCAAAAAGATCCGAGCCTATAGGAGTCCAAACCTCGTGAACCCAAGAGACAAATGAACGAACCCAACGACGTATCAGATTTGCAGAAACGAATCTACCGTGTCACCGAAGAACGGTAATCCGAGATGGATAACAGTAGACGACGACACGGGAAATGGGCAAGAACATTCTACCTGTGGAGAACCCAAAAATTGCAACTGTGACAGAAGAATGTCAGGATTGGCCGAGTGCAAAGTGGATGATGTGCTTAATCAACGTCTAGTTAGGACAGACGTGGAAGTGATAAGTCCAAATCTGCTGCTGATCTGTTTCTTGCTGTTCGATTCAAAAATCGTAAGTACATTAATAGCAAACTTCCAAACAGGCGAAAGGACTCTCCTCGAGGCAGTAGCTTAATTATAGCCTCATTCAATGCATGGAAAGTTTGACGTGTAAGGGCCGTCCCTTTCGAGAGATCTCAGCAAGGATCTAAAGACCTATTCTTCCCCATGAAGGCGGGGATAAACGCGAAAACAATGTTCCTTGCGGTATAATTACACAATTAACACTATGCCTGTGTATGGAAATCTATTGAGCCTTTTAATTGAACCGCCGTAATCCTTAACTTTTGAATAATAATACAATGAAATCCTCTCGAACAACTTTCAGTTGAATTTTCTAATATGATAATCCGGTAATCGCTGCCGTTTTAGCCTTCCCCGAGGCTTTGAGCGCTCATCCCCGTGTCCTTTTGATGACGGGACGTGGGCTGGGAAACGGCTGATTGCCTGCCAGAGCTCGAGATATCGTGTTTCTTGCCTTTTGGACGTGCTCGGCCTCAGCAAATCATTTGAATCTGCAATAAATCTATCTCCCGGACAAGTGAGTCCTTCGGCTTCTTTCGAGTTTTGTTAAGAAAGATTCGACCTTGCACCATTTTTCTGCTTGCAGTGCTTCCAGTAGTCATCTGCCGCTGATCAAGCTCCGGCGTCATGCCACCGTGTCGCTTCTCTCCAACAGGGGTGGCCTACTTGTGTTAGAAAGTCCCAATATATCCTAGTGTTTTCTTTTTTTTGTCTTAACCAATATATCCTAATTGGTTCATTACCGATTGGCCGAAGTTTTTAAGTGAATATGGGTCCAATTAGATATGTTGACGGGCTCAAACTTGTGCTCTTTTTTTGCGATCTTCCCTAGGGAAAGGCATCGGGTTTATGCTAAGCATTCCCATCGAATGGTATTAGAACATATGATTGATTGATGGTCACTTCCAATGTGTATCGATATTTGGTGAATATTTCAAGTAGGGCAGCCTTCATGGTGTGCCAAGTAGTGTAGTAGCATCGTCGCGGTGGCATCCTTCATAATTTGGTCTAGAGGACAAATATACCATGAGTAAACGCAACATGTGGAGACTCGAGTTAATACATGTTAATACAAATGGATACTTAAATGAAGGGGAGTGGACTTGAGCTAAATCATGTTGCTATATTTGAAGCTTCAGGGTGATGATTTGGTTGAAGAATTTACTTAAAGAAATAGGTAAGGAGCAGATATAGCGGTGTTTTTTTCAATGGCGATCAGATGAAGCAGCAAAGGGTGTTTATGGAAAAGAGCAATTGACCGAGAATGAGATTTCTGCAAATTCTGCTACGTGGGCCCCCCACCGGACACGTGGGGATCAACGATCAGATGGAACTACGGTTGACGTGGAGGTCCGGGGCTATTTCAAGGTCCAATTTGCCAGTGAAGTTTGACCAACTAAGATAACCATTTTAGATTCACTTATCATGGTGAAGTACGCCTATCAAACCGGCCGATCGGATCGAGTTTGGGCCGATCTAAATTGGCCTATTTAATCCAATTTGATCCATTTATATATAATACAAATTTAACTGCTCATACACGACTTTACTCGAGATTCAGTTTTAGCAGTTTTTCTCTTTAAATTGTTGCGTTTGAAGATTGGACAGTTCCATCAACTGGCTCATCGAGTTAGCGATAGAGTTTGGGATTGAGTTATAAAAGGGGCATGAAGGTGGTGGTGAAAGTCCGACATGTGCCATTGATAATTGTGAAATGTGCTCGGGCTTTGATTTTGGGTTAAATATAGATCAGATCTTAATTTATTGGGCCTGATGAAAGATCAACCTACATTTCTTTCATAACAAAATCGAATCCATACTAATTTATCTTCTTTTGATCATGATCCAAAATTGCACATCTCAATTGACAAGCAAGCTATGAAACGACTTATTTGTCGAGCAATTATTGCATCATCGATTATATTTTTTCGTCCAAAGGCAACACAACAATATGAATTAAAATTTTAAATTGTTAACAATGAGAGAATACATAAATCGTCTTCAAAATATTAGCACGGAGGCTAAAATGCTATGTAGAAAGGGGAAAATGAACCAAAAAAGAGAAGGAGGCAACACAACAATATGAATTAAAATTTTAAATTGTTAACAATGAGAGAATACATAAATCGTCTTCAAAATATTAGCACGGAGGCTAAAATGCTATGTAGAAAGGGGAAAATGAACCAAAAATGAGAAGGATGTAAAATTATCTACATCCTTAGATGTTAATCAAACTTTAAAGAAAATTTCATTGCTAATGTACTCACATTAAATGCTTTTATATGCTTCATCCCAAGAAGGTGTGAATGTGAATGACGACCATCATCACTTCCTCTTACTAGCCATTATAACAAAATGACTGTAATATAACACGCAGGGTACCCATTCACATTTTTTTTTCCAAATATCAAACAGAAAGAAAAGTAAAAAAGACGAGAGAAAAGAAAAAAATATATTTGTTGATTACATTCTACTGTAATTTTTCCATCACTCATCTCATCATTTTATGACAACGAGCCAAGGAAGCGGGAAAGTTAGGCGAGGCGTGCCGGGTGAGAGTCAGCTGTGTAAGACTCATGCAGATGGGTTAAAAATGGATTGTATGTGGGTTGGTGGGGTTTTTGGGGCAGTAAGCTTTTATTTTTGCATCATTCAATCTCATCTCATCACTAGCTTTTGGGGCCTCCTGAGTTCATGACAGGTTAAGTATGTGTTTCCTGCGGTGTTTTCACTGCAGCCACAGTTACAGAAAGGGATGGTGTAGCTTTTGGAAGGTGTTAGGCAAGAACCTAACGGCCGTAGCACCCACTGCAATATCCTAACTTCAAGGGGTTACATTTTTGTAGGAATCGGACCGTAGTAAGGTAAGGGTCGCATCCGAGTCGGTTTGATCTTCCCATTGACAGGTTAAGTAAGCTTTTATTTTTGCATCATTCAATCTCTTCTCGTCACTAGCTTTTGGGGCCTCCTGAGTTCATGACAGGTTAAGTATGTGTTTCCTGCGGTGTTTTCACTGCAGCCACAGTTACAGAAAGGGATGGTGTAGCTTTTGCAAGGTGTTAGGCAAGAACCTAACGGCCGTAGCACCCACACTGCAATATCCTAACTTCAAGGGGTTACATTTTTGTAGGAATCGGACCGTAGTAAGGTAAGGGTCGCATCCGAGTCGGTTTGATCTTCCCATTGACAGGTTAATAAGCTTTTATTTTTGCATCATTCAATCTCATCTCGTCACTAGCTTTTGGGGCCTCCTGAGTTCATGACAGGTTAAGTATGTGTTTCCTGCGGTGTTTTCACTGCAGCCACAGTTACAGAAAGGGATGGTGTAGCTTTTGCAAGGTGTTAGGCAAGAACCTAACGGCCGTAGCACCCACTGCAATATCCTAACTTCAAGGGGTTACTTTTTTGTAGGAATCGGACCGAAGTAAGGTAAGGGTCGCATCCGAGTTGGTTTGATCTTCCCATTGATAGGATCACGTGCTTCAGCAGATTTCTGCTATCGCATTTCCCAAATATGCTCACAACGACACCGAAGCTGTCAACTGCAACATTTTGATGAGTCTGCAGAACAGAACGGGAGAGCAAATTGAAATGACATGCTTTTGATGGACAAGCCATTACAGTTGCTGTTATTGGTAGTTAGAGAGCAAAGGATTGATCAACTTGACCTGACATTCCTGGGAAAAACCTAAACATGTCAGCTGATCTAATACGAGCAAGAGTTTGTTTCTTTTCACATTCCCTATTCTTACACCGGACGGACTTCTGTTTCGGTCGACGATGTGGCCATGACCATATATATGTTATCATACTCTCACAAGTATTCTATTCATATAATGGACCCCCGGACTGATCAGCCTCTCGCCAGAAACAATTGTCGAATTACACTATTCGCATCTCACATCGGAGAAGTCTATTAACAGAATCAAAATATTGAAACTTCGCAAGCCAGAAATGCGGAACTCTTTGAATCTGCAAAATTCACTAATCTGTGGTGCTAGCAGCCTGCTTCGCACCCACGGCGAAGAACTCAGAGATGACTTCGAGAGGCATCCCCTTCGTTTCAGGAACCTTGAGGAAAACGAAGAACCACGACGCAATGCACACAACGGCGTAAATAGCGAACACGCCGACCAGGCCAATGGAAGAGAGCATCAGGGGGAGTGAGTAAGTGACAATGATGTCGCCGATCCAGAACGTGAGTGCACAGATTGCAATGCAAATGCCACGCACTCGAGTAGGGAAGATCTCGGAGCACAGGATGTTGGGGATCGGGCCAAACCCCATGACAAAGCAACAGAAGTAGACAATGACACTGGTAGTTGAGATCGTGGCGTTCACGAAGGTGCTAATGTTGATGACGCTGCTGACGACTAAGATGAACAGCGACAATATCAGGACTGGAATCGTGGATAAAAGTAGTGACCTGCAAACAAGAAAGTGTTTCCGGTCATCTATTCAAGAATTTACTAGTAGAATGCGTATCTATCATCCGGTGATTAATTGGTGTCTTTCTGAGCAGATCATTCATGTGGTTCTTGTTTATGTTCTTGCTATCTTGAGACCAAATTTACAAATGTAGAAGTAATTTGAGGCCATAGTTTACCTTCTGCCAGAGACATCCATTAGCCTCATAGCAACAACAATACACGGGAGCATCAACAATGTAGTGAGACCGCTTATGAGAAGAGATGCAGAAGAAGAACTGAGCCCCAAATTAGATAGGAGGACCCCGACGCCGGCTTGCTCGAGAATCTGCGGTGTGTAGTAGAGAACCCCATTTATGCCGGAAAACTGCAGAAACAAATGAATTTAGAGAATTTCATACGCCAAATTCAGCTCTAGCTTAGGTAACCAAAGTTCAAAGAAAGAACTGTTCAAAAAAATCTGCTAATGCCCGGAGTTTTTAGTATGGAAAATACTGAATTTGTTGCACAGTCCTGAACAAAACGACTGTGATTCTTGTGCATAAGCGAATACTTTTCATCAACAATAAGCTAGAATTTCCACCTGTTGAAGGATCTGAATTCCAATTCCAACAAACAGTGCGCGCTTCACCCCCGGTTCAAACAGGTCGTGCCAGCTTGGCCCTTTAGTGCCGGTTTCCTGGCTCCTGTTCATGACTGCGTCAACTGGATTCTGACCCATGAATAGTCCCTCGGGACCAATAACAGAACAACTCACGAGAGCGGAAGCGTGAACCAGTTCACCTCCTTCGGGCGGTATCACACTACTGGTAACCGAGAGCATCGAGCCATGCCTCGAGGCTGCAGCACCATCCTGATGCAGGTAAACTCTCTGAAGCCCTCCCTCCTTTTTCCCATTCTCGCCCGTCTTATCCGACCACTTATACGCTAACTGCCAACCTCCACCGATGTCAGTGCTGCTGAGTTGCTCGCCGCTTTCTAGAGTGATGCTACCTTGCCTCATGCTGAAACCGAGGCCGCTTCCGGTGGCACCCATCCCTTCCTTGTTGTCTGTGGCAGTCGCTTGGCGGGACAACAGCGGGCTCCGCAGGTTGTCGTGGGAATCTGGTGCATCGTGGTCGGACACACTGTCCGCAGCATCCCTTTGGCTTTCCACGTCGGAAAGTTCGTTCTGGTTGGTAGGATGTTCCGCCAGTCCGAACATGCTTCCCATGGTCGGGAACAGCATGCTTCCAGTCTCGGGGAGGTTCTCGTGGATGCTGCAAAACATAGGGACGAGTGGATCCATCAGAGGAATGCTTTGGTTGACTGAGCTGGCATGGCGGGAAAGCATGCCCATGGTGCTCTGTCCAGAAACTGGCTTGGCGATCCATGATTGCTGATGCGGAGGCTTGTGCCCGTTAATTTGAGCCATGCTCGACTTATGCTTGTCGATTTCCTCGTCAGCAGGGCCGATAACGTACTCTTCTAAGGATGTGTTGGCTCCAACTCCAAGACCTTCGACTAGCAAGGCCAACTCACCTGAAATAATCGGCAGAGAAACATCACACGTTAATCCAGTGGCAAAGTGTAAGACCTTTATCATCGAATTAATCAGACAATCAATCATATCGTCAGATGAATTTTATCTTCGCTAAGGCACACCAATGGATTTGTTTGTCATAACTATCTGGTCTAATCTTTGAGGTATGAAAGTACTTGGACATACCCGAGACATCTTCCTTCCCACGCAACCTCTGGAGGACCTGATTGGCCTCGACCATCCTGCCTTTACTGACAAGCCACCGAGGAGATTCTGGCAAGAAAAATAATGTCAATCCGATATAGACTAGAGAGGGAATGGAGAGCACACCGAGCATCAGCCTCCAACTCGGCGAATCCATCAAGGACATTCCGAATACCATGCAGTATGATAGGAACATTCCGCCAGAACCGGTGAACTGAGGCAGGGTATTCAAAAGCCCCCTGATCTCGGGCGGGGCAGTCTCGGATATATAAACCGGAACAAGAGTGACGGCGAGGCCGATCCCGAATCCGTCCAGGAGCCTCGCCAGAAGCAGGACATAGACATTGGGAGCCCACAGCATCACCAAACCGCTGAGGAAGTAAAGAATCGAGGAGATGATCATCATGGGACGCCGTCCGATCGAATCTGACACGGGCCCGGAAAACGTCGTGATTACAGTGGCACCTATGAGCGACATAGCCACAATCAGCCCTTCAATCGTGGGTTGACTTTCCAGATCGAATTCCTTCTTGATGTAAAGAACCGCCGCTGCAAAAACCAACAAATCCTAGAGTTTTCAGATTCATCACATCATGGAAGATTATGCGTAGTACATTTTAATTCCGAACAACTGACCTAATCATCTAATATATGAACATTCAAAACGAAGAGAAGACACCAATCCCTGTCAGTACCTGCGATGGTCGCATTGTCCCATCCCTGCAACAAATTGCCGATCGTGGCAGCAACCGCCACGAGCACAGCTCCTCTCATCTCTCTTTGTATTTACCAGGCTCAAGGAATCGAAATTGCCCGAGCTTCGACTCGCAGAGGCGATCCGAAAAATGGCACGAAAGAAACGAACCCTCAAAAAGAAATTGAACCCTTTTTGGCAGCCATCACAATCGGTTCATCTCCCTCGATTTCCTCTAGAATGAATACCCTCTTGAGAAATTAAACGCATATGAGATAACCTGCCAGACCCAGGAAAAGATAAAAAAGAACAAAGCGTCCTTGAGATCCGAAAACGGCAATACAACGGAGACAGATCAGAGATCTGAGAGAGTGTCTCTGGAGAGCACACTTGGTGTGACACTGAATCGTGAAACTTTCTTCAGATTTATGGAGGCAGGACAAAAAATCTGCCAATCCACAAGAATTGTCAACCGGAAAAAGCGGAGGATCCGCAACGTTGTACAGTGTCCAATTTTGGAAGTTGGCGGGAATCTCTTTCCGAGCGCCCCCCTGTCAGGTTCGTTGGCCATGGCAGGGACCAAATCTGGAGATCCGTGTTCCTAGGAATGTGATTCGCTGACCTGTTCCTCGGCCATTTTGTACGGCTCAAAAGGCACCAGGAAAAATTTTCATCCTTCTTCGACACTAAAAACAGGGAAAAAAAAAATGAAATAACAAGAGATCTGAGGAAGAAATAGTAGGCAATAGGCAAAAGAGAGAAGGTAAACATGGGAAGGGGCGAAGATTCGATTTGTGTTTTCGATGTTCGATTGAATGGCGAAATCTTCATTTAGCTATGGTCGTCAAATTGAATTATGAGGGTGTGCTTGTTTCGGGAAAAACTTTATGATGGAAGATAATGCATTACGTGGAAATCATTGTCAAGGAAAATATTTTCTCCTTTTCAGATTCGGGAATTCATTTTCCTAACTTCAAATAGGCATATTTTCTTTGACCGTAAACGGTTTTTCATTAACTAATCATTTCCAACAAACCAAACAGGAAAAAGTCCGGAAAACTAATTCCCTAAAACTTCTTTCACTCGAGCAAACACGCCCTAAATTGGAATGTTAACGAGGCATACATATCGATGGGATTCTTATCTTGCATTGGACCAACTTACCAAAGAAGAAGAGGGCACGCCAAATTAGGCATGTTCAGATGCGCATATCTATCATGAAATTATATTTGATGTTTATGCGTGAGAAAAAAAAATATTATTAAAAGTATATTTCCAAGTTCACTAATAAGGGTTTTCTGCCCAAAAAATTTATTGAAAGGATGCTTGCATGCAAGGATGGAGGATGGCTTGTGCACTCTTCATGGTGAAGGTCACGTGCACGGCCTCTACAATTTTAACTCTGTATTGGTGGCAAGATCTCGATTATTTCTATCTACTTGGGGAAATTTATAGAGTTTTGGCGTGATGGACTTGGAATGGGCTCGTTGAGCAAGACTTGATCTACCCACTAACTTTTTTAAGATATTAATGTCATTTCATCTTCTCATGACATGGCCCACTTACCTCCCAGCCCGTATTCTCTTAACACATGGTGAGACATCATCTGTTGATTTAATACACTTAGATCGCCACATGATAAGATCCTGTCAACATACGTCTCGTACCTCCTATTATAAATACCGCTAAATCATTCATTGGAATATTTAAAAAGCGCATTGTTATTTAGAAATATCAAGTTCAATACTAAATTGGAATATTAATGAGATATCGATCTCAATAGAGATTCTTTTCTTTTATTGACCAAATCTGGTTATGACATGCCAAAGTGGGCATGTTCTCCATTACTGTGCTTCTTTCAGGTTTGATATTCCATCATTCTATTCAAGCTTTGATATCCATCCTATAAAAACATAGAGAAGATATATGGTTTGCCATTTTTGTCTAAGCAGCGAAAGTGAAAGGCAAACAACATAAGCAGTTTGTTTATTTCAGTTATGTCCATTAATGAGCCGCAAGTGAATGGTATGCTTAGTAGACATATGAAAGAATAACTCTACTTCAAACCAAGTTTAAACGGCTTTAAATATGCCGTGGATTGACCGAATTAAAGAACTTCTCTAAGCTTTGCATTTACTTTTCATGTTTATTTCTTGAAAAAAAAATGGTGTGATATATTATTTTAATTATCTATAAGCTGTGAATTGTAATAGTTTGTAAGAGTGTTTGAACGTTAAGTGTATAATTTGAGGGAAGTAGAAATTTGTGGAGGTGCAACATCTAAATGTTTTCAAAGAAAACAATAATGGATTCCCGCTTTCTTTTTAGCTCATTGGCGTTAGAGTTGAGAGGGTGGAGTAAGCTAAGTGGACCATAAGAAGTGAGGCATTCTCTCAAGTCTCACTTGGTTATTAGCCAGGCTTAATAGGCTAGTGGCCACTCCCGTTTCACATTGAATCTATTAGGCTAAATCATAAGTCAAAGTGAATCCAACGTCACGCGAAATAAGGGCTTGAAAGAGCCCACGCCTAATTGAGGGCTATCGTCCTGCCTTTTGGGCATTACCTCTAAACCTGTCTTTTCCCCGACATAATCGCGTTCCATTGTACAGTTTTTTTTTATCTCTTCTATCCCTTATTCAATTTAAATTTTTTATTGATTATTGCTTATCTTTTATAGAAAATCAATGATTTAAAAGGCATTTTTTATAGACAATTGTCCATATCTTTAGAAAAAGTTAATTAACTGAAATAATTATCTTTATCAAAAATAATTTAAATCTAAATATTTTTATTGATAGTGAAATATTTTTCGTTAATTTATTTTTATAAAAAATATAAGACATCATATTTATCAAAAGTGTTTTCTAATCAGTTGGATTCGCGAAACAAATACACCCTCCATTTACACGTTGTTTATACCTTATTTAATTATTAAAGACAAAATTTTAAAACTTTTCCGTTTTCAGTCCATTTCAAGATTATCTTAATCCATTCAATTTAAACATAAAATTAAATGGAATAAACAAAAATAATATGCTACCAATAAAAAGTATTTTTTTATCGGAACACTAATAAAAAGTAGGGCAAAAGCCACAAAAAACCCTAGACTTTGAGACATATTTACCCTAAATATTTTTTTTTTCAACACCAAAAATCTCTAACTTGTACCCATGTGATATATTTACCCTCCATTAAAGTTCTGTCAATGAAAACCGTTAAAAATCTGGCTAAATAGACGCTAGAAAGTAAACAGTGTTGACATGACGCCAACGTGGCTTAAGTGAAATAAAAACAATATTGTTTTCAATGTCACCGAAAAAAAAGTTTATGGTAAATGTGTTACAATGGGTATAATTTGGGGTATTTGTGGCTTTTTCCCTAAAAAGTATTTATATCTCATAAAGTGACATATTTAAACTATTTAGAGCAAGAATTCATTGCACTGTTAAAGAAATTGGAAAAAATAGAATCAAAATAAGAGCTATTTATAGTTTAATCTATGTGCGTATTAATATCATTGTAAGATTAAAGTATGAACAAAAGCTAGTTTTCGAAAATGTTATACTTACATAGACAATTTTTTTTCACATTTTTTATAGTAAAAACCAGTTTTTCATGTGACAACACCTTTTAGAGGATTATGAAACCAAAATTATTTTTCATAATCAAAATCCAGATTTTAGATTAATGGAAGAAAACTTTAGGCCAAAATACTCTTCTATTAATAACTTATATATTTTCTTTTTCTTCACCACAAAATTGATAGGAGGTATTAGTGCTTTAGAAACTTTGTCAAAGATGAAATTCTAAATTCAACTGCAGTCCATATTATTACCATTAATAATGATCCTTCTTATATCATGAGACAATAGCAATTGGCGCCTTTGAAATTCTTTTCATTTTTTAATAATTAAATTTGCCTACTTGATAAACAATGATAGTTTGCGTTAATATCACAAAAAACCCCAAATTGGTACATTTGTGACAAATTTACCCCAAATTAATTTTTTGATTATAAAAAACCCCAAACTAGTACACCTATGACAAATTTATCGCAAACTAATTTTTTGACTACCAAAAGCCCCAAACTGGTATATTTGAGACAAATTTACCATTCGTTAGTTTTCGTTAAATTTGATTAATGCCATAAAAAATTACAAATTGGTACACAAATGACAAACGGAGAATAAAACCCAAAACTAATACATCCGTCAACTGCCGCGTGCATTTAACAAAGCAATTTGACTGTAAAATTTAATGAAAACTAACAAAGAATAAATTTGTTTTGGAGAAGCAGATGTGTTGCTTTTGTTTCTAACCAGCTATTATTTAATTTATCTATATAATTAAAGGTCAAAAAATAACATAAAGAAAGACAACAAAAAAAGAACTTCCATTAGCATGTAGACATGAGAAATCTTGTTTATTGCAAACGATGTTAATCAGATATTTATTATTTGGCGTAACCAAACCTTCTAAACATTTCAATAAACTTAAAAACAAGTTGAATGGTTTTATTGTTGATAAATGGCATTATTACTCTTGCTTTGAATTTGTCTCTTGCGATAAATTCTAAAACTAAAATTTAACAATTCTCAATTTATTTTCAAATGTGTCCTGTTTAAAAACTATCTCATTCCATATCCTTTCTTTCGGCATCCAAATCGTACTGAAATCGAAATTAATCCACTCGAAAATCCACTTAATTCGAAAATTCAACGCTTGTCTAAAATAAAAACACGAGATGCCGAGCATGATCGGACGCAAGCTACAAGACACCAACTTTTAATCCTCCTCAGACGACACTTCTCAACTAGGTGAAAATGCTACTTTCTTTTTATCGCGACCGCCAGCGGTCGATCTATGTTAGGCACAAGAATCAAACTGTACGTAACTTTTAAAAAAAAAAAAAAGATGGTACGCAAAGCGCAATTAAACCAAAGTAAAGGGTACAAACTACAATTTCACCGAAAGATGAAGTCCAAATTTTGTCAAAAGATTCGGACTCCGACTAGGTCTCCAATCAGTTGCTCTTCTTCTTCTTCTTTTGAACAGAAAATCAGTTACTCTTCTTGATAATGAGCAATCTGACTCCAAGCGATTGGCCAGAATATGATCTTGAGCCTGATGATTAGCATGGACTGCCCCGTACGTGAAGTCAACGTCGTCGAATCAGTACAAATTTAAATTAACACATTTCAGATAGGTACTGAGAATCCGATCTTTAAAACGACCCCACTAATCATTATATATAGAGGCACAAGATCTTGAAAAAACCCTCTTGTTCCTACTGATGATTGAAGCCTCTGGTTACCCTATCAAGATGTGGGGCGTTCTTTCCTGCTTCGTCGGCCCTCTCGTGTGCCTTCTGATGATCCGTTCTTCGCGAAAGGCTATGCCGGTCGTGACCTTCCCGACCCTCCACAGACCGGCCAGCCATCCAGAACACGCGCGCCGTGCGAGCCCCGGGCGCTCGCCCGAGGGCCGCGGCTGTGCAAATGTTTGCTGCTGCGGCGGCGCCTGGACCTTCCAAGAGGACAAGCGGTTCGAGAACGCCTTGGCCATGCTGCCTGGCCGGGTTGACCTCTCCTCGTTACGCGATTTCGTCGAGGGGATTGCTCCAGAGTTCCCCGGGAAGTCGGTTGAGCAGGTCGGGAGGCACCTCGAGGCGCTGTGGCACGATGTGGAATTGATAGATTCAGGTGAAGTCATGTTCCCGGAGCAATGGACGATGGACGAGGACAGCGAGCGCGAAGAATCGAAAGGCAAATCGAAAGTTCAACGGAAAAGAGGGATTGCATGGACTAAAGAAGAACACGAGTATGACCGATCTTCCTCTACAGTTGCCATCCATGTTCTCTTTTCCTTTCATGTAGGTGGGCTAATATGGAGATATCTCTTAGTAAAGATTAGAAACTGTAAGATTTCCAACTCGAACTTTGTTAGTTTGTTTATGGCCAGTGATAACTCTTTCTGGGCTCTCGATAATTTGTCCTTTATATTGACATTTTTCATAGAAGTGTATCAAAGGATAAGCAGATATGGCTATGGAGTTCAGTAAATTAGGTCAAAATGTTGTGTAATCACCACATTGGCGAAAAAATCATGTAAAAAGACCACAATCTAGATCCCTTTTCTTTTCAAAGAAATTAATGATTTGGAAAGAATTTTCTTGAAATCTCGAAATAATCAGTCTGTTTTTCGTGTTGTGATTATGGTGTGGCTCGATTTATTGTAACGAATCCAAATCATATTTTCTGATGTTGCTATTATCGACAAATCCAGGCGATTTCTTGGAGGATTGGAGATATATGGCAAAGGGGATTGGAAGAACATCGCCAGATACGTCGTGCTAACAAAAAGTCCGACGCAAGTAGCTAGTCATGCGCAGAAGTACTTCAACCGCAAAGACCGCACAGAGAACCAAAAACTTCGTCGGAGCATCAATGACACTCACAGCATCGGCAACATCAGAGCTGCGGCTTCCCCATCCTCGAGTTCGCCATCTACTCGTTACACAGATAGAAAGTGACTGCTTAGTTTCGAGTGCCTCGACTTCTGAAAGCAGATATCACCGCACAGCTTCTGCTCAATTGATTGCGTAAGGCCCATCGCCGCGATATTTGAATCTTTCGAAATGTATCACGTTTGGTTTTTTCTATACATTAGGAGAGTCATTCCTCAAAGACTAGGTCATGAAGATCGTAGTCAAGTCTGAGGACCCGGGTGCTGAGTCATTCCTGTTGTTTTCATGGGATACAATGAATAAGAAATCGATGGCCATAATGAAGGCTCGGAGCGGAAGAGATATGTACATGTTTGTACATGCACATATCAGTTAACTTTTACAAACTGAATGTGTTTTCTGGATGTGCATGTGCTTAAGTAATGCAAGAGGATGGGTAGACGTGCGACTTGCCTTCTCGTTCCATCTTGTATGTATTGTAAGACCCTATTCCTGTAGGTAATCGATGCCATCGTTTGGAAGGAATGGACTGAGAATGACAATAAGTCATGTGAAACTTTGTGTGTGTTGGGAGAACAATGACGTCCCAAACAATATCGGATTAGCGCAGCGGAACAAAACAATCTCCGCTCTTGTGCAAACCTAATAGGAAACAATATAATATAGCTATATAAATTTTACGTGGAAAACCTCCTTGATGAGAGGAGATAAAAAATCATTATACCGCAGTCCACCCAAGTTATTCTCTAGTTAATACTTGAAGCCACAAACCTGATGTAGGGAGTTTCGAGTGAAAATCAAACCAATTAAATTTAAGAAGAATGTGTCACGAGCGTGCTGACAAAATTTCAGCTCAATCGGACTATGAATCGACCTCCGACGTCGGCTTGATGAAAACCACCAACGTTCTTTGCGACTACAACATAAAAATAGTGAGAAACCCTATTTCTTCGTATGAATTATCATATGGGCTCAAGCCTTGAGTTTACAATTCGTTGGGTTTCCTCTACATGGGAGTCAACCCAGCCTAAAACTTTGGATCTCCTATTTCGATTAGTTTGCTTAAGAAAGATTGAGGCCTTGTTTAATTCGTGCCGAATGGATTACTGGCAGGATAAGATACGTTAAAAAAATGTTGAATTGGATTATTTAGCAATATATAGTACCGCCACCTCCATCGTGGTCTTTCCTCTCTGCGTATCAGGCTCATTGCTGCACAATGCAATCTCTCTCTCTCTCTCTCTCTCAACTATATTAAGCCCCAACCCCGCAGCCATGGAGGGTCGTCGTACTAGCGACACCACGGGTACGGGGTCTTGCGAGGCAAGCCATAAGAAGCATGGTGCCCAAGACGCTACAGGCTAGGTCCAAGACTCCGAAGGTTTAGATTCGAGACGCCTACTCTGAAGCCAAGGACCTGAGCTCCTGGACTCCGGACACTCGAATCTCGCCCTCAAACCCCAAAGTTGGCGAATCTAGGCTTTCGAGGCTGAACCTATGACCCTGCCTCTAGACTCTTGTCGAGGTCCCAAATCTCGGCCTCGGCATCTCAAGTCTACGAACCGAGTTCTACTCCAAGATGCCTGGTCCCTGGCTCCAACCTTCGTGATCTCAAAGTCCAGGGGTTGGCTTCCTTGATCGGGTCCCTTGGGAGCCTAGGTCTACATAACACGGCCCAAGTTCCGGGTGGTCACATGTCCCCGCCCCTTTAAGGTCTCTCTCTAGTGTTTTTTTCCCCGTTTTAAAAGTGTGGGATATGTGCACTAGAAATCCTAAAACTTGTCACAAAACTGCAATTGAGTCATAAAACTTACAAAATGTGCAATCGTGTCCTAAAACTTGTCAAATTGATTCGATCGAGTCCTAAAGTTAACACCGTCTAATTTACTAACTGAAAATACTGATGTGACGTGTCTTATTTTATTACTTTTCTTGAGACACATGGCGATGACGTGGCGTCCAACAAGCGCCACGTCAGAAAAAATTAAAAAAATATAAATTAAATTAGAAAAAAGCTACAAAAATTAAAAATTAAAAATTAAAAAGAAGAAGAAGAAGAAAACCCCAACCAGTGGCTATGGCGATGGCCAAGCCCTTGCCGGTGGCCATCGCCACAGCCACCGGGAAGGGCTGGCGGAGGTCGCCTGGGCCTTCCCAAAGCTCGGCGACCCTCGCCGGCCCTGGGCGAGCCCCCGGCGAGGGCCTGCAACCCTGATCTGGGGGAGGGCGCGACCCTCGCCCCAAATCTGAGCGAGGGTCGCCAGCCCTCGCCTAGGCCGGCGAGGGCAGGTGAGACCTTGCCCAACTTTGGGAAGGCCCAGGCGACCTCCGCCGGCCCTTCCCGGCGGCCACCGGCGAGAGCTTGGCCACCGCCACAGTCGCTAGTTTGGTCTTTTTTTTTATAGCTTTTTTCTAATTTAATTTATATTTTTAAATTTTTTTCTGACGTGGCCCTTGTTGGACGCCACGTGTCTCAAGAAAAGTAATAAAACAAGACACGTCAGCACGTCAGCATTTTCCGTTAGTAAATTAGACGTTGTAAACTTTATGACTTGATTGAATCAATTTGACAAGTTTTAAGGCTTGATTGCACCTTTTGCAATTTTTAGGACTCAATTGCACTCTTGTGACAAGTTTGAGGACTTCTAGTGTATATATCCCTAAAAGTTTTATAGCTTTTTTCTTGATGTGACAGCCACTTGGCACCACAATAGCAGTAACAATCCCTAAAAAATTTCAAGGCCACTTTGAATTTTCTTGTCATTCAACATGCAACAAAGTTAACAAAACAACTCAAGTATACCTTCCAGGCAAGTTTTGAAAATTGATTGCAATTTTGTTATGTTGTAGGATTTCAAGTGCACTTCATCACTAAATATAATCATTCGACTAATGCTTTATCACCTACATTAAAGAGGTATTGCAACAATGAAATGAGAGTAACTTCTAATATATGACGATACAGAAAAGGCAAACTTAAGATGTGCTTTCAAGAGGAATACACAATGAATACTACGAATACTACGGAATATGTATATATATGTTGGGGAAGATACTTGAATGTTGAAGTGCATGTGTGAGTCTTATTAGAAAAGTCTCACGTTGGATAAATGGTGTGGCGTTGAGCAATTAATATATTCTAGTTGGCTCATAATTCATTATCTTAAGCTTTTGAGTGAATGTAGGTCTAACTGGATATATTGACGGGCTCGGACTTGAGCCCTCTCTTGGCTATCTCCCCATGTGAAGGTATCGGACTTATGCTGCTTGCTCCCAACAAATACAATGAATAAATGAGCACAATAAGTTTAACTGAAACCTACCGTATATCATTGGAAACTATTTCATTGTGTTCTCTGTCAAGGAAAACAAGTTTGATAAGAGAAAGAATTATTTGACCTTATTCGTTATAAACATAGATTACGTCACCCGAGTAGGATTAAGTTCGTTCCGAATGTCTTCGGGTCCCTATAAAAAGTACGAAAAATTCATAAAACCAAGAATCGCGCGGGACTTCCCAGTGGCACATATCAAGAAAGCGGAGAGAGATACGAAAGCAAGCATGGCCCCTGCCCCCACCCTTCCCTCTCTAATGGCGAAGTTTCTACTGATGGCTGTGGCGCTTGGCTTTCGTACCCCAATGCGGGACGTTCTTTTCTGTTTAGTCTGGGCTTTCCCATTCCTGCTGATGATCTATTCGCGTAAGGCTATGCCAAAGGCGACCACTCTTCTGTCTCCTTGCGGATCTATCGATCATCAAGAACATCGCTCGTGCGAGGAGCGCGGTCGTCGGTGTGATCACGGCGGCGTCTGGACTTTAGAAGAGAACAAGCGGTTTGAGAATGCCTTGGCCTCGTACATCGGTGAAAGCCGTTCCTCCGCCTCCTTGAATGGTTTTCCCGAGAAGGTCGCTCCTGAATTCCCCGGAAAGTCGGTCGGGCATGTCCGCAGGCATCTTGAAGCGCTGTTGCACGACTTGGAGTTGATAGAGTCGGGTGAAATCGCTTTCCCGGAGCAATGGACGGCGAACGATGAAGGCAAACGTGAGCTCGCAGGTCGAGGTGTTGATAATAAATCCTCGTCGTCGTTTCATAAATCGAAAGTTCGACGCGGTAAAGGGATATGGAGTAAAGAAGAACACGAGTATGATGACTTATCTTCCTCTACTGCTGCAACCCGCATGTGCTTTTTCCTTCTTTAGTTAGATTAGAGAGATCGTTAGGTTTGTGATTCGAATTTTGTTAGGTTGTTTAACTGTTTCTACGCGCTCAAGATTTGCCCTGCTTGCTAGGTGATTGAATGCATTTTCACAGAAGCATTATCAAGAAAGCGATTGAACTGTTAAAAAAGATAGCTAATTAACAATGTCTGATTTGATTTTTATGGACATATCCAGGTGCTTTCTTAGAGGATTGGGTATCTACGGAGAAGGCAATTGGAAGCAGATCTCTGTGAACGTCGTCTTCACGAAGAACCCGAGGCAAGTAGCTCGTCACGCATACAACTTCTTCAATTGCCAAGACCGCCCGACCAATCGAAAACGCCATCGAATCATATACGATGACGAGCCATAACTCCCAGGATCTCGAGTTCACTCTCTAGCACTCGTCATACCATCAATGACATCGGAACCATTACTACTTCCCTGTCCTCAAGACCACCCCATCTACTGGTATTATACAGGCAGCAAACGACGCTTGGTTTCGAGCACCTCCACTCTCGAAAGAAGTTGTTCTCACGCAGCTTGTGGTTGATCGACTGCACAAGTTCACGCTGTGATCTTTGAACTTCTTAACTGTCTTTCACGTTCAAATGTTTCGCTAGGAGGGTCGGTCTCCTAGAGTGGTTCTTGTAAATTGAAGTCAAGCTCTGAGTAATGCAGTGCTGAGTTAGATCTGTCATCTTCTTGAGACGCAGTCAAATAAGATTTTCGAGGGTCATATTGCAGGCTCTGAGCGGAAGAGATGCATGCATGCTTGCACATGCACGTCTCAGTCATTCTTTACGAACTGATTGTGCATACTTTCGGAGGTGCATAGTTCCACGAAATACAAGAGACTAAACATTGCGATTGGGGTCAGATCTTGAATATAATGTAAATGCTACTGCATAATCAATGCTGATATCCAGAAGGAACGAACTGAGAATGACAAAGGTTATGCAAAACTTTGGATCTCCTGCTTTGATTTAGCTTTGCTCAAGAGAGATCGAGGCTTATTGTTTGATTACATGCGGAATGAGGTTTAATCATACTATACTTGCGGAGTTAGATTCTTTCAAACATGTCGGATCGGATTACCTAGCAATACCTTGTATCGACATCCGAATTCCACTCAGAGCTTCGAGGACCGCTCTTTCTCTACTTCGCTGAATTAGAAGAGACAAAGTTAAGACGTGCGGTCTAGTGAATTACGCATTGATTTCTACAAGATACAAAGGGCT